AATTTTATTTTTTATCTTCATATCTTTAAATTCTAATTTTATAATAAAAATTTATTGAATTTATGATAGTTACTCGATTATGTTTATTATATTTTCAAATTATAAATATTTGTTTTTTTCTATTATATAAATTTGAAACTTTACTTTTTTTATTTCATATAAATAATACATATTTAATAATAAATTAAAATGTTATTAATATTTATGAATATATAATTTCTATTAATTTTATAATAATTATATAATTTTTTTAATATTTATAATCAATTTTTTTTAAACTTTATAATATTAATTTAATTTTTTTTTTTGAGTATAAACTAATATATTTAAAAAATTTTGTATGTCCTTTATTTAATTTTTAAATACAATATATATTTTTATTTATTTTATTTTAAATATTAATTTTATTTTTTAAATTTATTTTAACTTTGTAAAATTATTTATGAAAATTATAATTTAAATTATATTTATATTTTATTTTTTCGAAAATTTTATTTTATTTTTATATAAATAATTATATTTTATTTTTAATATTTCTTATGTATATAATTTCAAATTTTATAAAAATATATATATTTTTTTTTTATATATTAATTTATATTATATTTTTTTAAGAATTTATAAATTTCAATTATTAAAATTTATAATTTATAAAGATATCATATTTTGTTTCAGTAATTTTTTTTAATTTAATATTAAAAGATTTTTGAAATAAATGTATTATAAAAAATTTTAAATTAATTTTTTTAAAATATTGATATATAGCTTTTATATGTTCTATTTATTATACTTGAAAATAATATTCTAGAAAATAATTATAATTTAAAAAAAATTGCTAAATAAGTTAATAAGAAAGCCTAAAATATTTCATAAAATCTTTAAAAAAAATATAATTTTAAAAAACCAGGCATAAAATATAAAAATAAAATTTAATAATATATTATAGTAAACATTTTTTAGTTAATAATTTATAAAAAAATGAAGATTTCTATCTAAATAGCTATTAAAAATTAATTTATTATAATTTTATTTGTTTAAAAAAAGTTTATTTTATATTATTACCCCCGAAAAACTAATAATATATGTAATCATAATCTATTTTTTAAAGCCTTTAATTTTCTCTTAAATAACTAAATTAGTGCTATTAATATTATGTTTTGAATATTTTTCTTAATAAAGAGATAAAAATATAATATAAAAAATAATATGGCATTGTAAAAAGATTCAAAAAATATTATTACTTGCTTATAATTTTTTTATTTTTCTCTATATTTTTGTTAAATAGATTTCAAAAAAAATCAGTAGTAATATTTAATATAAATATACTTTATTAATATATTTTTATAAGTTGCTTTTAAATAATTACTAAGTATCAGTTAACATTTAATTTTATAAAATACAATAACGAATGTTAAAAAATATTTATTATATCGTATTTTATTTAAAAAAAATTCATTAATTTTAAACAAATATATAAATTTATTAAAAAATATGTATTCTAGTGAATTTTTTTATAAAAATTTAAAGATATTCTTTGCTTAAAAAAATTTTTGAAACCTGCCAAAATTAAAATTTAGTATTTGAGTTTGAGTTTGATTATAAGTTTTATATGCCTCAATATGTTTAGTAACATTTAGTAGCTAATTATAAAAATAACTATTATAACGAAATTACATTATTGTAAATAAACATTAAATAATGATTTCATTATATTATTTTTATTTAGATTATAAATATTTAATTTTTTAAACTAAATTAAATTAATATTTATATAAATTTATAGAAACAAATAAATAAAAAAATAGTAAATAAAGTAAATAAAAATGATGCCTACTTAATAAAAAGATCTTTTTTGCCACTAAAATTAAGGAGAAAATTATTCTTTATATAGACCTGAGTATCCAAATAATTATATAGAAAAAATACTTGAATATTCCAAATAAACTTAAAGAGAAAGATATATTGATATAGCATGTGGTACAGGTTAATTATTATTTAAACTGAACAATCATTTCAAGTACTGTTTAGGGACAGATATAAGTGCAAAAATGATTGAATAATGCAATTAAAAATTAGAAAATATAAAAAACACATAAATTATATAGTGCGATTCACATTAAATATCTTAAATTTTAAATATTTAAAAAGAAGAAGATAAATTTGACCTTGTAACTATTGGTTAAGCTTTACATTGGTTTGATGTAGATAAAATGCTTTAAGAAATAAATTCTAATGTTTTAAAAGAGCATGGTTTTTTAATAGTTTCAGGGTATTTTTGTAAGGGTTTTGACTTTTTAGATGGAAGAAAAAGTAATATTTATGATTAATTTTATTAATAAATTAATTAGTATTGGGATTTCAACAGAGAATACTTATAAAAAGCATATTCTGATTATAAATTTGATAAGTATTTTAAATAAATTTATTTTGAAGATAATTTTGTTCATACCCCTTAAAGTGTATTTTAATTCTGCAAATATTTAAAAACTTATAGTGCTTATAATACTTATATTTAAAAAATGAAAGGAAAATAATATGAAGATCCTGTACAAAGTGTAGAAAAAAAGTTAAAATAAATAAACATAGAAAGTATTATGATGAAAAATTATTATTTCATAAGAATTTTTTAGAAAATTAAATGATTATTTTCTAATATCTTTATTTTATTTTATTTAATATTATTTTATTTTAAATGATTTTTTATTTTTTAATTTTTTTTTTTTATAATTATATATTATCTTATTATATTTTTATATTTATTTATATTTAGTTTAAAATATTTTATTTCATGCAAATGAAATTAATATAAATAAAAATGTTAAATATTATTTATTGATATTTTTTTTTATTTTACTTAATACTTAATTAACAAAAACAAAAAAGGCTATTATATGTTTTTCTCGTCTTTTTAATGTTTTATAATAATCTATTCTTTATCAAATTTTAAATTGTTCTTATTTAAATCAGTTTTATTTATTATTTTCCAATACAAATTCTATGATTTTCATCTACTGAAAGTATTCCAATCCAAATTAAATACTTAAACATTAATATTAAACTTTTAAAATTTTAGGATATATAGCTTAGAATAATCCATAACAATGCAAAATATTATAAATTATTTTTACTTTTAGGATAGTTATTTATTAAGTTTAAAATTATAGTTACAATAATTAAGCCTTCAAAAAGTTGAATCCTAAATTATAATAATTGTCAAATTCTGCTGCAATAAAAATATATTATTTAAAAAATCACATAATTATATTATTTATTATGAAAGGAATTATAAATATTTATTTTTTCAAGAAATAAGGTAAGGGTTAACTAAAGTACAAAATAAATAGATTGAAAAAATAAAAATAAAAATAATATAAAGATTAAATAATTAAAATTAGGCTTGAAAATAAAAACAATAAAAATGTGACTAAATAAAGAAAAAATAGATATAAAATCAAAAAAGATTATAAGTTTAGAATAAATGTTTTTATTAAAATATAAAAATGATATTAATATATAAAATATACTGATATATTTTTATTTTATAGATATTAAATATTAATTTATAAAATAATTTTATACTAATAATGTATAGTCATTATTATATTTTCAATGAATATATTTATTAAAAAATATATGAAATAATTTAAAAGTAAATAAAGTATAAATATTAAATAAATATGATTAAAAAATATAAATAAAATTAATCGAAAAGTAAAAACATAAATTATATAAAAAAAAATACAAGAAAAATATAAAATTTAATAAAAAAATTAGGGAAATTCAAAAAAGAATAAGTTTATTTTTAAAAATTAAAAAAACAAAGAAAAACAAATAAATAAATAATATTTATACTCAAATATAAAATTTAATTCATAGAAAAATATAAAAATCTGATATTATAAAAGTTAATAGTTTTTTAAGTATCATTAATAATTATAAATTAATTTTTCATATTATTGTTTAGTTTTTTCTGTAATTTTTTTCTAAAAGTCAATTAACAAAATATGAGTAAAAATGGATAATGACCTTTTAAATTTAGTATATTAAAAAAATTACAGAAAATTAAAAGGAACAAGTAATATATTTAACAGGTATTTAAAATTAAGCATAAGCTTTAAATTTTTATAAATTTTTATCCTTATATAGATATACTATTTTAAACTATTACAAAATTTATAACATGCATTTTATAGATTAATAATATATTCTTTTTTTATTGATTTAAAAAAATATTTTTTCGATGTAGGATAGACGATTATTAAGATAAATTTTATAAGAAATATTATTATTAGTTAAAATTATATTATATTTTAAAATATTGTTTAAATGATAATTTTAATTAATATTTACTAATTTTAAATTAAAGGTTATTAAATATATAATATACTTTTATGCTTTTTTTTGTTTTCTGTATTTATTTAAAATTCAATTAAAAAATATTGTAATTGATTTTATCGTCTTTTTTATTTTTGTTGATTGATTTTTGAAATAATTACATAAAAATAAAAAACGTGAAAAAAAGTAATATTAATATAATTATTAATTATATTTTATTTAATAATGTAATTTCTAAAGTAGAAAAAAATATTATAAATTTTTAATAATTTTCTCATAAGAATTTAATAAATAAACAATTTTTAAAATTATTTTCATATTTATAATAATAATTTATAAAACTTTTATAAACAATTTTTCGACTTTTTTATATTACTCATTTAATAATACTAAAAATTCAAAAAATTTTAAATATAAAAATAAAATATAAGAATTATATAAATTGTAAACAATTATTTGTGAATATTGAATTATAGTAAAAATATTATTTTTGTTGATATACTATTATAATTTTTTTTTATTGATTTAATATTATAAAATATATAAAAGATTTTTATTTATTATTTGATTTTAGATTAAAATAAAAAATAAAGAAATGGTATTTATAAAATATTAAAAAACATAAAAATATTAAATTAAAAATTTCTATTTAATATATTTATTAGTAAGTAAAGGAAAAATAGATAGGAGATTATTCATTTCTTCTTAATGATAAAATAGGTTCAGGTTCATTTGGAAAAGTATACAAAGGAAAGAACACAAATACACAGTAAAAAGTAGCTATAAAAGTTTTAGATAAAAATGAGATATGCATGAGTGAATATCTATTATAAGGTCTCATAATGGAAATAAAAATATTAAGAAAATTAAAAAGCGAATATATAGTATAATTAACAGATGTGTTAGAAACACCAAATAATTTTTATTTAATATAAGAATTATGCGAAGGAGATTTGAGAAAAATATTAAAATAGAAAAAACTTTTACCAGAATAATAAGCTATAAAAATAATTTAATAAGTCTTAAAAGGTTTTATGGAACTATAAATAAACGGTATAATACATAGAGATTTAAAACCTGAAAATATTTTGATTAGCAATGATATATATAAATTGGCTGATTTCGGACTTTCTAAAACTGTCGATAATTTTTAAAGATAATTAATGATTTCATAAGTAGGAACACCACTTTATATGTCGCCTTAAATTTTAATGAAAGAAAAATATGTATATACTTAAAAATATATATATATAAATATATATATATATATATATATATATATATATATATATATTTTTTCATTTATTTTTATGTATTTATTTATAAAAATTTTAATTTTTTTTATATTTTTTGCTAATTAGACTTCTAAATGCGATTTGTGGTCTTTAGGTTTTATTTTTTATGAAATCATATATGGGAGAACTCCTTTTACTGGAAAATCTTAATATTTATTAATATAGGATTTTTAAAATAACAAAGTAGTATTTGATTAGGGTATTTAATGTTCAGATAAATGTTAAGACTTTATTTTGAATTGTTTAAAAATTTAAGAAAGTTAAAGATTCGAATGGATTAACGCTTATAAGCATGATTTATTTAAATTAGAATTTTAAAATGAAATTATTCAATTTAATGAGATGGAAAACAAATCAAATATGATAATTAATGAGCTTAGATAATTTATATATAAAAATAAAATTGATATTGAATATGTTTTCAAATAAATGGACACTTCAAAAGATGCAATTATTGATATAAATGAATTTTCTAAATTAATTTAATAATTTGATGAATCAATTACTAGATTAGAAATCGAATATATTTTTAATAAGTACGATATAGATTAAAATAATTTTATTACTTTTACAGAATTCTCAAAATGTATTTTGGAAAATTAAAAAACTAATAAATAAATTGTTTAAAAAACTTTTTACAGGTATAATTTTAACTGAAATAAATTTTATTTATTTTCATATATTTTATAGATAAGGCGAAATAAATGAAAATAAATAGTATAGAAATTCTGTAGATATGATGGTTGAGCATCATAAATTAAAATAATTGTAAAAAAATGATGAAGATATTAAAAATAATTAAATATTTTTATTTATTAATTAATATTTAGCTATTAAAATTAATGAAGACTAATAATTGAATGTTGAGAATATTGTAGACTAATTATATAAAATTAATTCTGAATTTTCTAAAGAAGAATATACTTTGTTTTTCTAAAAATATAATTGCGATGATCATTAAGATTCTACTTTAAAAGAGTTTATTAACAAAATATAATAAATAAATAATTGATTTTGTACTGTTAATATTTTGTGTTTATTTAATTTTTTATTATGTTTTGAATAAAAGTAAATTTAGTTATATAATTAAATGAATAATTTTTTATTCATTTGTTTTAAAAAATAAAAATATATTTTTATTATTATTTTTAATTTATGATTATATGGTATTATTATTTTTTTGGGTATAATCATAATAAATATTGAAAGAAAAATAAGTTTTTTGTTCCTTCTTATATAAATAAATATTTTCTTAAAATTAAAAACTTTAAATCATAATAATACATATGTTTAATTTAACTTATAGAAATTCATATCAAATTTTTAAATTATATTAAAATTATTATACTAAAAAAATAAAAAAATATTATAAATATAAACCTTTAGAAGTAAAATATAGTTTTTTTTATGTTTTGATATTTATGCAAAATTAAGAAAAACCAAAGCAAGTAATAAACACTATTATAAATATTATTTTAATTTAATATAATAATTTTTAATTTATATTTTTATACACTATTTTTATTTCTTAATTTTTGTACAATAATATATTACTTTTATTAAAGAATTTTTCTATTACTATAATTTAAAATAAATAATAATTTATATAATTTTTTATATATTTATGTAATATTTTTTATTCTAATAATATTTGATATATTTTTTAAATAAGTTTAATATATTATATGTTCAGAAAATTGTTAAAATAAATAAAAAAATTATTTGGTATTTTTGTTATAAAATAATTGAATTATTATAACTTAATTAATATTTTTAGAAATTTTATATAATAAAAAAAATTATTATAATTTAATTTTATAATATATAAATTAATTTTTATTTTATTTTTTAATCATAATATTATTTTAGTTTTTTATATATTTAATAATATAAAACTTTTATTATAATAATTATTTTTATTTAAAAAATAATTAATTATTTTTTAATAATTAAGAGTATATAAAATGTAAATAAAAACTCAATATATTTATAAGCAAATATTAATTTAAACAATAATTTAAAATTAATAATTTTTTTAAAGATAACTAATTATTCTTTATTATAACATTTAGATAAAAATTTTAGCAAAAACTTTATTAATTTATTTTTAATTTAAACTAATTATTTAAATAATTATTTTATATTTAAATAAAAAAATTTAAAAATATTTGTAAAAGAAATTAATAAAAAAATATTTTTAATATATATTTGTTTAATTTATTTTTGATATAATATATTTGATATAATATAAAATTGAAATTATATATATTATTTTTTAAAATAAAATATAAAAATAATCTTTATTTTGAAATAAAATGATTATATAGTTTAAATTTATTTAATCTTAATTTATAGTAAATATATTAAATTAATGCGATTTATAGAAATTTTTAATATAATATAAATGATTAAAGAAAGTATAAAATCTTTAAATCATAAATATATAACAAAAAAATTTTATCTTTTACTAATTAAAATATTTATATATAATAAAACTTTTTTATATGAAATTTTTATATTATATTTTTATAGCATATTTCTTATTATTTATGAATTTGAAATCTAATTATTATTTATTTACAAAGATATTAAAGTATATTTTAAAATACAAATATCATTTTTATAGTTGAAAAATAATAATATATATTTATGAGTTAAATTATAATTGTATTTTTTATTTATTGTATTTATTAATATTATTTTTTTCTAACAAAAAAAAATATAAATTTAAATATTAAAAACATAAATAATTATCTAAATCTCAAAAATTATATAAATAATTAATTAATATTTAAAATATATTATAATAATCATATATTTTATATATTATTATTTCTCTAAATTTATAAAAACTGTTTTTATTTAAAAAATATTTAATTTTATTTTTCTTCTAATAAATTAAATGAATAAATTTTAATTTATTTAATTATTTTAATTGTATTTGTCAATAAATTTATCTTTATTTTAGTTTTTTTTTTTTAATATATATATTCTAGTTTTATATATATTATATATAATCAATATTATTTAATTATTAAAAAAATAAAATTTATATTATCCATAAAAATTTAATCATATTATTTAAAATATTAATGATTTTATAAAAATTAATTCATTTGAAAGAAAAGAATATACATTTTATTTTATGCTAATTATGTCTTTTATTTTTCATAATAATTATAACATCTGCTTTATAGTTATTTAGTAAAGAAGCAATATATTTATTTTACTGTTTTCCCATATTATTTATCTACATGTTTTTACACTATTTTTTATTTTGGTATTCTTAAAAAGAACTTAAAAGATTTTATGCCTTTTTCTATATTATTAATATTGTATAGCTTATTATATTCTCAGTTATATTTTTTAGTATTTATTTTTTGATATTCTATAAAGTTCAGTAGTATGATGATTTTTAAAAAGTTGAAAATTGCTAAATTTAAGGAAAATAATCAAAAAATTTATCAGGAAATGAATAATATTCTATAAACTACGTAGAAATTGAATATGAAGACATAAAATATCTAGGGTATGGTTGTATGTCTAATTAAAATGAATAAAATAAAATTATTTAAAATATTAAACCTTATTAGTTTTATTTCGAAAACGATAAATATGAAGGATGTGAATAAGAATTTGATAATAGCTATTTAAATAGAATACTTATTAATTAAATTAATAATTAAAAATTAGATTATATATCATTGGCAAAAAAAAAGAAAAAAAAAAGCAAAACCTAAAAAAAAAAAACAAATACTCAGGCCAAAACATAAAATAATAACGAAAATTAAATTGATGATTAAGATGAAGATAGTTGTTTAGATATATATACTTTTAGTAAAGTAAAAATAGCTAGTTGGATGTGTTAATCTAATAATTTGGAATTTTAAGAACTTATAAAACCTAGAAGTTGCTATATCTATTTTTTTGGAAATAAAGAAAAAGCATTAGAAAATGGAATAAATCGATAATAAATAAAAGATATAAACGATTTTATTTTAGTAAGTTTTAATTATCCTTATCATTATCCTTAAAATTAATTCTTATGTTTGATTATTTTCGGTTATTTTCCTTTTATTTAATCTTTTGGAATTATCTTTTATAAATTCGCTTTTTATTTATTAAAGAAATTTTAAAAAAATAAATAAGCCCATGATTTAGCTAATTCTGAAGATGCAAAAACAAAAGTAAGCTCAAATGAAGTTATTTAAAATTAAAAAATTCTTTAATAAAATGTTCTTAATTAAGATATTGAAAATGAAATCAAGAGTTTATAGAATGATAAATAAGAAAAGAATTAAATAAATAAATAAAATATTAATCCTAATAATAATTATTAAATAGATCAAAATAATTAATACTTAAGTTAATAAATTAATTTTAACGAAAATAAATAAAAACTATGATATTATATATATATTTATATATATTTTTATAAAACTACCTTTACATTTCTAACTTAAATAAGTATTTTTAATTTATAAATTCAAAATGTTTCCCTAAAAATAAAATAGCCTTTATATTATACAAAGTATTTTTTTTTTAATTATGAATTTAATATAAAATAAATAAAGTAAAAATATATAAAAATTTTAATATTTAGTAAAAAATTTAATTATAAAAAAAAATTAAATTAAATTTATTTTCAAATATCTTTTTTTAATAATTACTAATTTTACTTTTTTACATCCTTTATATATTTTTTACATATAATCAAGCTATTTTTACATTAATCAATTAATATATTCTATTATTATTAAATGCATTAAATTTATAAACCATATTTTAACTTGATTTTTCATATGAAATTAAAAAAAAAAAATTTCATTAGTTATTTATTCATTTATTTCTATTATTTTAAATGCGTAAAAATATAGATTAGTTGTCCAATTTTAAGCAGCTTAAGCAATTTAGTCAGCCTATGTTAATTATAACATGATTACTACTAACTATTAACCTGATTATTATATAGATGTTACTTTTACCTGAAATTAGTTAATTAGATTAAAAATTTAGCTATTAGATTGAGTATGCCCTTAAATTACATCCTGTAAGAAGTTAAAAAATAAATCATAGAGAATTAATAATATATTGAAGTAAACAAACAATATAATATATATTTTTTAGTTTTTTTTTTATAATTATTAGTCTTAATATAGTTAATATGTTGTTTATTTTTTTAAAGGTAAAACTTATATATAACATATAAACAATTTTATTTTATTTTAATTTGATTAAAAAAAAATTATTTTAATTATTATTATTTTTTACTAATAAATAATTTCGTATTTATAAATTTCTACTTTTTTTTATTTTTTGAAAAATAAAAATTATGTAGATATTAATCTATATAATTATAGAAAAATAATATTAAGTATTTATAAATATATATAATTAATTTATATTAATTAAATAAAATAAATACTATTAATTTTATATAAGAAAAAAAATAATTATTTCATTAAATAAATTTTATTTAATAAAAAAGGGTAAAAAATAAAAAATATAATAATAAGCTATAATGGATAAAATAGGTTTCCATTAAGAAAAACATATATAAAAAATCGAAAAAACACCTCATGTATTATGCAAACATAATATATAAATCTCCTAAATTTGTTTAGATAAATAATGTTTAGAACAAAATGATTTTTTGTTATGTAATTAATGTGATAATCACGAAAATCATGAAAAAGTTCCTTTTACACTTTTAATTAATGACATAATATAAACTTTTGAAACATAAATAGAAAGCTCGTAATTTTATAAAGAAAAATTAGCCCGAACAAAAGCCGAAGCTTTAAATCTATTATCTGAAGCAAAATTTTTATTGACAAAGAAAATAGAAGATATAAATGGACATATTTCATATTTATATGAGGAGATCGAATAAACATTAATTAAAAAAACTCAAGAGCAATAAAGAAAATAGACAAATACAAATATTTAAATATTATTAAATTCCAAAACATAAAACTAGTTAAAAAACGAAATAAGAAATATTATGAATAAAACCTATTTTGATGAAAACGAGGGTATATTTTATATAGAAAAGGATAGAAATATTAAAATATTCGAAAAATTTAAAAGTGAAAACCATTAAAGATTAAATCAATTTTTAAAAGATACAATAAATAAAATAAGTTAGGTTTTAGAAAATAAAGAGCATGAAATCAGTCAAATACTAAATATAAAGAAAGACTAATTTTTCGAAATAAAAAAAGAGAATAAAATATGCACAAATGACGCAGTATTGGAAAATACACTCTGTTTATAAAACTCTATATATAATTAAAGTAATTTAGAATATAAGGGGAGTGAATAAATGGATTCTTTATTAACAAAATCATTTTAGAATATAAATTAATAATTTCTTTTTAGTAATAAATTTAAACATTAGAATATTAGAATTGATAAGAATTAAATCATAAATGATAAATATTTAAATTAAAATCTTTATTATAGGACTTAAATTATTGTTCCTGATTTAGAAAGTTTAACTCCTTCCATAAAATAATGGAGTTTAAAAATAGTTCGATAGTTTCCACATTGGATTGGAATCGGAATTTGTCATATAAATGAAATTAAAGAAAGAAATTTTGAGTTTTTGGATAACATGTTCACTTTTTAAAATGATGATCTTAATTCTAGAAATGATAATCATTTTTGTTATTTAATTACTACACATGGATGGGCTTTCTAGCATTAAAAAAAACCATTTAGAAGTTCTTTTAAACTAAGTAAAGGAGATGTTGTTACTTGTAGATTTGATCCATTTAAAAGTTTATTGATTTTTTATAAAAATGATGACTTATCTACGTCTTTTAATATGGAATTTTAAAGAATATGTTCTAATAAATTATATCCATGTATTATTTTATGGTATCCAGATGATTCTGTATGTTTAATATGATGTTATGGAATAATATTTTTTGTTTTATAAAATAAAAATTATATGTTTGTCTAAAAAATAATATTGTGGGATTATTTTAATAAGATTTTATGTTTTTTTATTTTTTTTTTTTTAGAATTTATTATAATAGTCTATTTTTATTATTTTTTAAATATAAAATTTTCATATAATTTGAATTAAATAATTAATTTCAAATAGTGTATTGATTTTTTTTTTATTGCCTTTTTTGGTTAATTTAAAATTTATATAAATTATTTTACATCAAAATTTTTAAGTTGACATTCTTTAATTTTTATAATAGTTTATTCATACCGAAAAATCATTTTAATAATAGATTTATGATTTTAATAATCTAAAATTAATTGTAATTTTTATATAACTATATTTTAAGATAATTTTATTAATTATTTTAATTAAAATCAACTAAATTAGAGATAAAAAAAAATATTTTTTTTATAAAAAAATATGAATTTAATAAGTTTATTTATTTTATAAAAACTATAATTTGTTGATTTTAAAAGGTAAATTCTAACGAAAATAATAAATGAAATTAGTTAAAAAATAAAAAAATCTATATAAAAGTATATTTATTTTTTTAAAAACAAAATGTGCCTGCTTTTATTTAATAAAGATATTATTTTTAGTTTTTATACAAAAAAATATCCCTAAATTTTACTATATTTAAACATAAAATATTTCCTTACTTATTTTATTTTTATTAAAATTAAAATTTGTCTTTTTATTTAATTAATGCAGGTTTTAAAAAACATATTCAAATAAAATTAAACTGACTCTACTATGCTTATTTGCATAAAAAAGTATTTTTTTTTTATAAATATAAAAATATATATTATATATTTTTATAAAATAAATAATCAATTATCATTAGTCACATTATTATTTTATTCTTATTGTTATTATTATTCTTTTAACATTTCTAAAAATCCAACTTTATCAGTAAACCATAATTTTAAACGAAAAGCGTCATTTCCATTTAAATAATAATTCATTAATCTTTTTACTCTTGCGAATCCTAAATTTTCATATAACTTTAAAGCAGCTTTATTACAATATTCTGTTTCTAATACAATTTCTTCAGCCCCCATTTTTCGACTCTTTTCTATAAACATTTCAGCTAATTTCTTTCCTATTTTTAATCTTCTGTATTCTTTTTTTACAACTACCATACCAACGTAAGCCCTCATCCTTTAGCTTGTACGATGTTTGTTTAAGTTTCCGATTATAACGCCTATTATTTCGTCATTGTAATATGCCAAAAATGATAAATCTTACCATTAATTTACAAAATAACGATATGTATATATTGAATATGGTTCGCTTAATTCTGTTTCTATCATTTTCATCATTGTTTATAGTTAATTTTCATCTTTATAAGTTTTATAATGAACTTTAGATGGATCAAGAGCTTAGTCTTATGTCTACATATTTGATTTTTTTTTTTTAAAAAAAGAAAATATAATAACTATGAAATATTAATTTCTAATAAAAATAATATTTATTTTACTTTATTTTTTTTAACTTTTTAGAAAAAAAGATATTTTAGTTGAATTATTTTTTTTTTAATTAGAAATTTTATTTATGAAAAATAATATTAATTTTATATAATAAATTTTTAATTAATAAAAATGCATCAATATTTAATTTAGAAGTTATTTTTAAAAAAAATTTAAAAAACTTTATTAATTTATTAAATTTTATTAATTATATATTTAAAATCATATTTTGAAAATTAATAATATCTTTTAATATAAAAATGAATAATTAAAATAATGTAAAATTTTAATTAAAAATAATAATATTAATAATAATAATATTAATATTAATAATAATAATAATAAAATTTATTATAATAATATTTCAAAAAATTATAATATATTTAAGAATATAAAATTTAAAAAAATAAGAAAATATTTATATCTATTATTACTAACGAAAATTTATATATATTATATTTAATATATTATTTATTTAATTTTTCTCTTAATTTTCTCATTCGATTATTATAGAGGGTTTAAATATTTTTTTAATTTTTTAAAATTTACTTTTTAAATCATTAAAATTAATATTACTTTAATAGTTTTAATTAATTTTTTAAATCTGACTACTTTTTATTTTAATATTATCTTATTTTATTCTACTTATGACATTTTAAATTGAACTTTGTAAATTTTATTCTTTTAAATCAATAATTTTATTTTTAATTTAAGTATTTTATTAATTTTTGTGTTATAAATTAATTGTATTTATTTTCTTTTCATTTTTTATATCTTAATTAGGCTTTATTTATTTTTTGATATTTTCATTCGAATCTTTATTTATATGGATTAACTTTTAATACTGTTTAAATCCTTTTTTAACATTATTAGTATTATTATTAGTATTATTATTTTTTTATAAATTTAATTTCATATTGGTTTGAATCTATACGAGTTTAATAAAACTTTCATCTTCCATTTAATTTGATTTTTAAAAGGGCTACTCTTATTAATATTAATTATTTATTTCTTAAATTTGCATTTTAGATTTTTTTAATATATATTAATTTATTTATATTTAATTTGTTTATAAAATAAATAATTAAAAATTATTATTAAATTATTATAATTTTTTTTTTATTTTTTATATAATAATAAAATAATTTATTTGATTATTTTTTTAATTATTAATTTGTATATTACATAAAAAAATTATTTATTTTTATGGATAATAATTAATTATTTTTTTATATATTTTATTTAATCTTTGGTATAAATTCTTTTAGTATTATGAATAACTATTAATTTTTGCAATCAAATCATTAAAATATTATTATACTTTACTATTCTATTATTTTAAATTTTTTTCTTATATTGTATTTTTTTTGTAATAAAACAATTTAAAAACAAATTTTTAAATTAAAAATTTAATTTTATATCAGTATAAAAAATAAATGTATATTTATAAAATGATAAATGATATATATCTATAATTTTTATGAAATAATTATTTTAACAAAAATAAAGGAATATTTTTGTTAAAAAATAAATTAATTAATATTTTATTTAATTTTAAAAAATTTTATTTAAAATTTGAAGTGTTTTTAAATATATATTTAATTTAATCTTAAAATAATAAAAAATATATTTTAATTTTTTTTTTATTTTAAATAATAAATATATATTAAAAAAAAAAAAAATGTTTCAAACATACAATAATTAAAAAACTATATAAATTTAAAAAAAAAAATAAAAAAAAATAATCTTCGTTATCAATAAGCTCTTTTTGTATTTTTTTTGGTTCCTCTTTTACCAGGAGGGGCAGCTTAAAATGTTGCTTTTTTCTTTTATTTAGCTCTATTTTATTTTATAAATAACAGAAAATTAAATATGTATTTACATGAATCCTTATTTATTAGTTTAATCATTTAGTTCATCTTCCTATTTATTTCCTTGAGTTTATGATTAGTTTCCAACTTTTTTATCCTTTAAAAAATAAAAAATTATAAAAATATATAAATATAATACCAAAATTTTTTAGTTTTGATTTTAAGTATTTTAGATTTAGTCTATTAATTTAGAACTTATACTTTGTAAAGAAGTTCTATCTACATGCTCAAAAACTATATGAAGTTAATTATTAAGAGTATGTATATGTGCATTTAATTCATTAGAAGAAATCATCTTTTTTTATTTTATTTATAAAAAAAAGAAAATTTAAATTAGATTATTACTTTAAATGTAATTGCATTTATTTCAGTTTCACTTAATTCGAATTTTTAAGATAATTCACTTAAACTTACACTATCAAAAGAATTTTTAAAAGTATATAAATGGCATTTATAGGATTATTCTTTAACTCTTTGGAGTAATATTTTTTTAGTCTTTTTTTTTATTTTTTATTAATGTTGCGTTATCAAAAAATATATATATTTTATTTACTTCTTCACAATACAAAGCTCCATTCCATACAGGTGCTTCAATAATTAATTTATAGCAATTTTTCCAATTTCCTTTTTGTAATTCTTTACTTGCAGCATAGATATATTCTTTACTAGATTCCGGAACTCCAACAAAGTGCTTTATTTTTATTATTGTATAAAAAAAATATATAGTAAAAATAATTACACTTCTGTTATATTATTCACATAGCTTTCTAAACATTCTTGAAAAAATATGTTTATTATAAGAATCAGAAATCATATTAGGAATTTCAATAAGCATAGAAACAATTAAATAGAAAGTTTCAATCATATCAACTTTTAAATGTTAATGGGGAGGAAATATCTTTTTTCTGTCATTTTATGATAAGTATCTTAGTGGATTTTGTCCTATTAATTCTTTGGTTTTTCCTTAACTACATAAATCGTTCAAAAATTAAAATGATTCAAATAAATTTCCTTATCTGAATTACCCTAATCCTAATTATACAAGGACTCTATTATATAATGTCTATTTTTTTAAAATATATATATATGTATTATTAAAAATATAAAATACTTATATTGTTGAATCCATATTCTATATTGTGTCTGTTATTCTTGACATTAATAAAAGATCTCTCGCTGCATTAATTCTATTATGAATACTATGATGATAAACTTAATAAAGAGTTGATCTTGCAATATCTTAATCTGGAGTTCTGTTTATGAGAGAAGACAATTCACTTATTATATTTTCTAGGCTCGTATTTTCGTCAAAAATATGATCTTTTATTGATAAATTTTTTTATTTGTAATATTTTCTTTATGCATCTAATGTATTTTCATGAATGAAATACATATTTTCAAGTCTTTAGAATGCAATTTTAGCAGCAATATCTTATAAGCCAATTTAATCATAGAATTCTTAAATTTATTTTCCTAATCTTAATACTTCATAAATATCTCCAATTCTTTAAAAGTATTCCTTTTTTATTTTATTTTTTAAAATATATTTATAATTATATAATTAATACCTCTTATGTATGTTCAATAGAATAAAAAGATTTATTTAATTCAAATATAATAGTGTTATAGAAAGTAGAAATAGATTGAACTATATTTTTTTAATTGTAAAATTTATTATCTTCTTATAATTAATATGTATTATATTAATTTTCCCTATTTTCTGGAATTTTTAACTTTTCTAAAAGTAATTGTACATTATCAAAGGTTTATTGCCAAAGATTCTTTGTCATATAAATGCTTTGCACTTGTTTTGAATAATCGATTCTTATAGGAATTAAAATTTAAATAATTTCAATTATGAATTATGTATTATCTTATTTTTCATAATATTTTAAATATTCGTTTAATATTTAATAGGCATATTTTAAATCAAATTATTTGGAAGTTCTTTTTTTTTTATATATAAATAAAAAAAAGAATAAAAATTACCTATTTTTAACAAAATCTTTTAATATACTAATTGTTCCTTCATAAGAAGTATTAATAACAATTTCTTTTTCTTTAGAAACTTCAGTAATTTTATAATCAATGTTATCTTTATTAACTTTTTATTTCTTATGCTTATTATCATCTTATTTCTCTTCATCTGAAGATTCACCTAAGCTTTTTTCTTTCTCAACTTCATTTTTTTTACCTGGTTTTAAAAGCCAAAATTTTCTTCTTACCATAGGATCATCTGATTCTAGAGGGTGAATAGAATCATCAGATGAATCTGATTTAAAATCACTATCTGTTTATTCACTTCCACTTTCGTCTTCTGTAGTTTAAGTAGGATTTTTTTTTTTTTTTTTTTTTTTTTTTTACAAACAAACAAAAAATTATTTAAATTAATAGAAGAAAAAAAAATTACCTCTTTAAACTTGATTAAAATTTAAATTATATCTTTATTCATCTTTGTTATATTACGTTTTATTGCATTAAAAGCTTTACTATTTGCTTAAGATAATTTATCTTTTTCTTCTTTGCTGAAATTACGAAGTTTATCATCTAAACGATATAATACTCGGATATAAAATGATGGAATTCCTGTTTCATCAATTACTTTTTTGGCTTTCTCTAATTCTTTGTTGAGTTTTTTGAATTCTTCTTCAACTTAAGTAAATTCATGTCTTTCTAATTTTTATTTAATGTTGCTTATTATTTCCTTCATTTGGTTAAATCTTTTGTCTTTTTCACTTAAGACTTTCCTTTTTTCATCTTCTTCACTTGAAGAGTCTAATATGTCCATCATTTCGTTTTTTGCTCTTCTATCATCTTGTTCTTAGCTGCGATCTGATTCGGAATCACTTTGATCGTTTTTTCCTTAATTAAAGAAACTCATTTGTTTTTTTTTAATTTAATATTATTTATTTAGTTTTTATTTTATTTTATTTTTCTTCTTTTTTTTTTTTTTTTTAGATTTATTTTTATTTGTTTTTAATTTTAAATCTTTTTTCACTTTTTTTATGTTTTTATTATTATAATAATTAAGCTTAATAAATACTTTTTTTTATTAAAAATATATAATAATAATATTAAAATTTATATAAATTTTGATTAATTTTTTATATATAGCTATTATTATATATAAACTCTAATTTAATTTTCATCATTATCCTTCTTCTTATTCATCTGAGAAAACAATTTCGTCATCTTTATCAAATTACATATCATTTGTTTGTTTATTTTGCTTATTTTTCAAATATTCTTTATATTCTTAAGAGTTTTAAAGCATTTTTACTTATTATTTAGTATATAAATCAGTATGTTCCTAAAAGGAATCCATATCATATTTTCTACTAGTTATATTTAAATTCTTAGGTTAGTTTATTTTATAATTAACACATAAAATTACAATTATTAAAGCAAACGTTATAATTTCAAAAATAATAAATTTTTATGAATACTTAATTTCCAATAAAATTTCATCTGGAATTTAGATTTTAATTGTTATTAAAAAAGATACTAATAATGCAAAAAATATAAAATATTTAATTAAATAATTATTATTTTTTTTTGATTATTATGAGTCTAAAACGTTTTTTTTTTAATATTTTTCCATTTTTTTTAAAGAAATAAATCTAATTATTATTTTATTTTTATAAAAAAAAAAAATATATAATTCTTATATTTATGAATTAAAAAAAATATAAAATAACATATATAATAAATATTTTTAGAAAAATTATGAAATTTTTAACTTTTTTATTATATATTTTATGCTTATATAATATTCTAAATGATAAAAAGCTTGAATTAAAATAAGATTTTAATTATTTTTTTGTATTTTCCATAACAGATTACCTATATATTAAAATAAGTTATAAATTAATTAAATTTTTATATACTATTAGTTTATGAATTAATATTTTTATTATTAATTATTATTTTATTTTTTAAATTATTAATTTAATGAAAAATTTTCTTATTTAATTTATCTTTTTGTTTGTATATACCTGCAGATTTTATATCTATTTTGCCTTTTTTTTTTTGGTTTTTATAAAAAAAAAAAAATTAATAAAATTTATCTTCTTATATTATAATTAATGTTATATTTATTAAATGTTTTAATTTTATAAATTTTAAATAAAATTTTAGTCTTATTTTATTTATTTATTATTCAATTGATTATTTACTTCTATAATTTACTAAATTAAGTTATTATATATCATTCATAAAATATTTTAATAAATCTATTATATTCTCTTATAAAACATTAAAATGATCTTCTTTAATTCGAATTTATACCAAATAGTTTCTGCTATTAAATATTGTTATTTTGAAACTTTTAAAATTATTAATTTAAATTTTTAACTTCATTATCAAACTTTTATATAAAAAGATAATTATTTATTATTACAAGTAATTTTTTTAAGTATATATAAATAAAATATATTATTTTTTATTTAATTTATTATAATATATTAATTAATATTAAAAAAATTTCTTTTATATCTTGTATTTATTATTTTAAATTATTCAAACTTTAAGTATAATAATTCAATTATTATTAATAATTTTAATAACTATTTCTTAAAAGTTATCATATTGATTTGAAAATATATTTTTTTCTTGATTAAAAATGTTAAACTAACTATTAAATAATATGATTAAAAAAAATAATAAAATAAATATTCTAAATAAAGTGAGTGCATGCTTTGCTTATATTTATCTATCTTATAATTCAAAAAATCTATTTATTTTTGATTTAATTACTTCTTTTATCCAAAATCATAAATATATTTAAAAAGTTGATAGTTTAGATAATTCTTATACTATTTTAAAAGATCGAAAATTCTTATAAATTATAAGATGTTTCTATATTTGATAATCTTATGGAATTTTCAAATGCTTTTTCTAATTTATTTTATTCAATTGAACTTTAAATTAATTATTTTGAGATTATTTGCTCTTATTTTATTATGAAGATAATATTTGAATTTTTTTGTTTTCATTTCTTATATATAAATTAATTAGATTTTTAATTTATATTTTAATTTTTTTTTTAGAAAAGAAATATTTATATTTGATTTATTGTTTTTAATATAAATAATTTATATTTTTATCAAATTTTTAATATTATATATTTTATTATTAAATTTAATAAATAGTCAATATATTTTTTTATTAAAATAGTCTATTTGCATTTTTTATTCGTATTTTGGCAATATTATAGTATAAATAAATACAATAACAATATATTTTAAATATTTTTAATTATCAATTTTAATTAAATAATGTTTTTTTTATAGAAATGTTTAATTAACAAGTTATCAAAACAAAATATTTTATAAAAATAAATATATTGAATTTATAAATTATGACTTTTCTACATTTACTATATTATTTAAAAAATATACATAAATTTTTATAATAGTATATTTAAACTTTTTCTCTTAAAAATAATTTATTATTAAATTAAAAATTACAAAAAATAGAAAAAATAAATTTAAATAAGTAATTTGAAAATGAAAAAAAAATATACAATTAAAGTATAAAAATTATTTTAATTATTTAAAAAAATAAATAATTTAAATTTTCAAAGTATATATTTTTTAATTAAAAAAAGGAATAAAATATTGAAAAAAAAAAAAATAGAGAAAAAATAAAATAAAAAAAATATATAAATAATAGAGAAAAAATGTAATAACACGTTTACAATTTGGATCATTATATTTATCCGCCTTAAACATAAATCTATTAAACTGAAAACTATTAAATAGAAAACTATTAAACATAAGAAAAATCACAATATTTAATTAAATAAAATAAAATACTAAGTTAGGTATATATATAAAAAAAAAAAAAAAAAAAAAAAATTATTTATTTATTTCTTAAAATAAAGCCGACATTTAAATTATTTAAAATTGAGTAAAAACAAAAATAACTATTTGGTAATATTTTAAGCAAACCATCATTAAATAACGAAATGTTTTAGAACAAATATAATATAAATGAATTATTGGAATTTTAAGAAAGATCGTTAGAAAACCAAAAAACAGATGATACAATATAGGAATAATAATAAAAAAAAAAAAAAATTGTCGAGAATTTTAATGATACAAATGAAAAAGAAGAAACTAAAATTAATATTTTTAAATAAAAAAAATATGAAAATTATAAAAATCCTTAATAAGTTTTAGAATACAGATCAGAAATTATCCAAAACTTATATAAAAAAGAAACTGAAATTATCATTTTTAATTCCTATTTTTCTTTCTAATATGATATTACGGATTGTATGAGAACTATTTTAATAGACTGGCTTGTATTGGTTAATTTTAAATTTAATTTATTACCAGAAACCTTATATTTAACAGTACATATAATAGATAAGTACTTATCAAGAAAATAAATATAAAGACAAAAACTATAGCTTTTGGGAATTTCGGCTTTATTTATTGCTTGTAAATACGAAGAAATATATCCGCCTTCTCTTTAGGATATTTGTAATAGTATAAAAGGGATTTTTTACAAAGGATAAATTTTATAAATGGAAGGAGATATTATTTAAAGCTTAAATTTCGAAATTACTTTTCCAAGTATTTTCAGGTTTTGTGAATATTTTTGCTGCTTCTTTAATTTTTAAGATTAAGAAAAATTTCTGGCTTTTTATTTTTGTGAATTGGCACTTTTAGAAATTGCTTTTTAATAGTTTAGAGGGTCTGTTGTGGGATTTTCAGCTTGCTTTTTAAGTTTGAAGATTTTAAAAAATGAGTGTTTATGGAATTTTTCGGGTAATATGGAAATCCATGAAGAATTAAATGAAGATAGAGTTAGGTGCTGTGTAAAATAGATAGTTTAATTAGAAAGAAAAATAGAAGATAATTTTTAATATTAAAATATTAAAAAAAAATATTCGTAAAATTAGTTTTTGTGTGTTGGATAAATTGTTTTGGATAAAAAAAAAAAATAGGAGTGAATTTTTTATTAATATAATATTATTTATTATATATATTATTTTTATAATTAAATAAAGTAAATAATCATTAAATTAAGATCACTTCCTCCTCTATTTTTTTTATATTTAAGACTGTAATAATTAATATTGGATAATTTTTCAAATATAGTAAAAAATATATTAAATGATAGTTGAAAAGAATATTAAATAAAAATTTTTTATAACAATTATATTATATGAGTTATTTAATTTATTAATTATAAATAATAATAAAAAACTTCATTTATTAATATATCATATATTTTTTTAAATTATTATTATTATTAAATAATAATAATAAAAAAATATTTTAAAATGTAATTTCAAAAATAAAATAAATTTTTTAAGTATAATATATAAAATGTATATATTTTTTAATAAATTATTCATAATATTAATTTATAAATAATATTTATCTACATAAATAATGTGGTTATCTATTTTTTTAGAATTTTTTATTTATTTATTGAGTTAAAAAAAATATAAATACAAAAAGAAAAACAATATGAATAAATAATATTAATTATCATAAAATCATTAATTAATCTATTTTTGGATTCGTTTATAAATAAAAGAACCGCTTCGAATTTTTTCATAATATAATGTATTACTTAATTTAATATTTTATGTATTCTAAATAAATAACTTTGATCTTGCAAATATTTAATTTATAAGAATTTAAGGTATATATTTTACTTTGGTTTTATTTTAAATATTGTTATTTAAATAATATAAAAATATCCCCCGATTTTAATTTTTTCAAGTTATTTTTAAATAATTCTAAACATATAAATTGAATCTAATATTTAAATAAAAAATAATAAAGTACAGAATATAAAATAAAAGCTAAAAATAATCAATTATTTTAAATAAAAGATGTTAAATTAATTATTTATAAGAATTGATAAATAAAAAAAAAATTAAAACAAATAATATTCTTATAATTATTACTTATTTTATCAATATAATAATAGAAATAATACAAAAGTATAAAAATAATAACGAAAAAACAAAAATATAATCAAAACTACAATATAAAAGTTTATTAAAACAGCCCTAATATATTATTATTTTTTTTAAAAAAAGAAAATAGTAAATTAAAAGTAAATGATTACAAAATACTTTAATGAACATGAAAATTATTTAGATAATATAGATGAGTTTGTTACAAAAAAACATATTAAAGGCGTTTTTTAAAAAAATCGTCCTATAAATGAGAGTAGTGATTGTATAAATGTAATAAACGAGCATGATAATATAGATAACAATAAATAAATACCAAGATATTTAGATGGTCCATGTATTTTTTTTTTATTTGTAAAAAATAAAAATAAAAAAAAATTATAAATAAACAGGTAGAATAGCTACAAGATGTTTTCAAATAAATAAAAATCCATTTTTTAAATTTAATATAAATATCGACTAAGATAATTATTTGGATTTGGATATAGAAAAAAATTGCATTATATAAATAGCTGATAACTTTGAAGAAATTCTTAAAAAAAAGAAACTAGAGCGTTATTAACTCCCTCATTAATTGATGGTTTGGAGACTATAAAAAATTAATGTTTGAAATAAAACAAGTAAACTACAAATATTGATATAATAGAAGAAAATATAATAAGTAATAATTAAAATGAACAAAATAATTAATAAGAATAAGAATAATAAAAAGAATAAGAATAATAATAAGAATAGCATTTATTAAATAATTCACAAATCGAGGAAAGTTGTTTACATGATTTATAAGAAAACGATGAAATATTGTATACTTTAGTGAAAAAAGAGTTTTTTTTCCACAAAAAGAACATATCGAAGTCAGAAATAGAATAAATTATTTAAAATTTTAAATTTGTTTAACAAAAGGATGACGCTCGAGCAGAATGTTCTCATAAAGACGGTGGGAAAGAATGTAAAGATTAAAAAATAAAATGCTGTTTAAGAAATATAGGGAAAGAAATAATAAAATAAGTAGGAAAATAAATTCTTTCTGGTTCATTTAATTTAACTTAAATTAGTTTTCCTATAAGAGCCATGATTCCCAAAAGTGCATTAGAAAAAGCTTTATATTCGACTTGTTTATTTCCTTTATATATGAACTTGGCTGCCTAAACAAATAATTATATAGAACGATTTAAATTTGTCATATGTGCTACTTTAGGGAATTTTTATATCAATTGTGGTTTTTTGAAACCTTTAAATCCTATTTTGGGAGAAACTTGTTCTGGATATTATTTAGATGGGACAAAAATGTATGCTGAGTAAATTAGCCATCATCCGCCTGTGTCTTATTTTTTAGTTTATGGACCAAATGGAAGTTATTTGTAGTTCGGAAACTATAATTATGAGTCTAATGCTGGTATTAATTCTTTGTAATTAAAAAATAAAGGAAATAGGCAAGTGAAGTTTTATGATGGTTAAACTATTAAGTATAATTATGTTAAAGAAGTCTATTCTGGATCTTTTTTTGGAAGTATGAAAGTCGAAAGTAAAGGTTCTTTGAGTTTTTAAGATTCACAAAATGGAATTTTTGCGAATATAGATATTGATTAAGTAAAAAAAAAACCTTCAGATTATTTCCAAGGAGAAATTAAGTGCGCTTAAAATGGAGTTTCAATTAAAATATATGGAACTTATATGGGATATATTGAGTTTGATGGGGATAGATATTGGGATTATAGACATATTATGCCTTTTAAACCTATTTTTAATAAAAATTAACTAAAAAGTAATTCTTTTAAAAGATTAGATCGTTAATATTTAGAATAAGGGGATTTTTAAAATGCTTAAAAAGAAAAAGAATAACTAGAAAATATATAAAGAAATGATTAAAAATAAAGAAAATAAAGAAAATAACAATGATTTTATTTTTATATATAAGCATATATATAATATAATATATATATATATATATATAATAATATTATATATATAATTATTTATATTTAAAGTATATTTATTATATTATTTTTATTTATGTTTTTTATATCTTTTTTATTTTTTATTTTATATTTATATATTATAAATTATTTTTATATTTTTTTTATAATAGTATTATATTTATATATGAACGTAAAATTAATTATTTATACACGTATATTATATTAATTTTTTTTTATTTATTTATAATTAAATTATGAATAATAATAATAATAATATTAATAAATATCATATATTTATAATTTTTAATATATATTTATTTTATTTATTTTTTCAATTTTTTTTATAAAATATTTTTTTCTTTAAAATTTATTTTTATATTGATTATTAATTATTTTATATTTTTTTTTTAATAGTTTAAATTGTAACTATCTATTTTATAAATTTATATTTTATATTTATATCATAAAAGCAAATAAATATTTTTCATTTATTTTATATAATATATAAAAATATAAGTTTTAAAAATAATATATCAAATTATTTTCCATTTTAATTTAACTTGAAAATTATTTCTTTTTTCTTATAAATAATTATTAAGTATTTGCTCTTATTTATATTTTTAAAGGGAGTTCATTTAAATTATTAGCAAAACACATACATTTACCATCATTTATCTGTTTGCAATTATAAATATGGTAAATTTAATCTTCAATATTATAACAAGGCTTATTTTTTTAAGAATATTTAAATAGTTTTTTTATATAAGAATATTTAAATAGTTTATTTTTTATTTAATTATAATTAATATTTATATTATTACTTATTATTATTTTTATTTAAAAACTTTTAAATTTTAATAATAAAATGGCTATTATTTTTATTTTGTTATTCTAAATATGAACTATTACTATTTTTAATATTTATAGAAGAATTATTTTTATTATTTAAATCAGAACTATTTTTCAAAAAGTTTTTTTAAGTATCTTTTTTACCTGCAAAATATAGTCTTTTAGAAGATAAAGAACTATTGTTTTAAATTAAAAGTGAATAAGTTTTATGATTAGGAGTATGGTTATTAATTTTCTATTTATTTTTAAGATAATCTAAATAAACATTTTAAAGATTAATTTTTTTTAGAATATTATTAACTAAAGATGATGATTTTTTTTATTATTCAGTTAAATAAGCAGGTTCTGTATTAAAATAAGTACTCGAAATCTATTTTTATCTTTGAAAAAATTAATTTTATTTAAAAGAATTTATTATTTATTCTTTATTTAATTGTTCACTACTTTTTAAAGCAATAGATTCATCATTTGTATTATGTAAGTATTTTTTAGATATATTTTATTTTTTTTATTGTAATTTCTTTAGTAAAGCTTTTTTATCTAATAAAAATTTATTCCCTTTTTAATCTAATTGTTTCATAATTAGATAGTCATTTACTTTTAAATCGAAGTACACTTTTTTGAATTAAGAAGACTTACTTTTCTCTCTAATTTTTAGTTCTTTTTGATTTTCTTTCTCATCCTTTTCTTCAATTTCATTTATTGATATATTACTTTGAGACTAACTCGATAGTTTTTTTTTTTTTAATTTAATTATATACTTTCCCTTTTTTTTTCAATGTTTTCAGTTTATTAAGATTATTACTATTAGGAGCAAAAAACAGATTAAAAAAATGTACTTTGGGTTGTATTTCCTCTATTTAATTTTTGTTTTGGACTAATAGATTTTTATATGCTTTAGGAAGTATAACATCATAAAGATTTTTATTATTAAAATTTAGGTTTTTTAGGATCATTATTATTATTTAATTTTATATAATCAATTTAATTTTGGGAAATTTCTTATTAAAATTTTTTATATTTTTCATAAAGTTACTATATTTTTTCATTTCTATATTATTGTTTTTATTTTGCAAGATTTACTAATATTTTCATATTATTTGAATCTTTGTTTATTTTTTTTAATAAATCTGATTTTGTTAACCCCATTATTAAACCATCTTTAGAATTACAAATAACTGAAACTTATCTAGTTTACCCTTCACAAAAGAATTCTTCTTCTCCAAAAGATTATGTTTTGGATAATAATCCAAGCTTAAGTTTTAAAATTAATTTTTTATTTTTTATTTTATTTATTTTACTTCAACATTTATTGTACAATTCACTTTTTCATTATTATTTAAAGTGTTTATTTTTAAATCATCGTGTTAATACTCTAAACGTTTCATTATCTTATATATATATATATATTAATTTACATAATTAACAAAAATAATACTTTAAAATCTCCTTCTAAAATTATAAACATTTAATCACACTATATTTCACCTTCTTTTATTATTGATTCGTCTATTTAGCATTTTTTTCTTTAGAAAAGAAGAAATACATTTTTTAATAAGTTAAATGAAAAATCTTTAAATAAATAGTTTTGTTTTAATTAAAGGATTTAATTTTTAAATTTTTAGTATTCATATTATTCTTTTTTATATTAATAAAATATTTATTTATTAATGTATTTTTTAAAACTTAATATTTAATCGAATGATGTTTTATCTAATATTATAAAATCACAATCTGATATACAAGTTATAGTTGTTTGTCTTGGTTTTTTTTCTAAAAGCGCTAGTTGACCAAAAGATTCACCTGTTGAAAGTTCTCCAATAATCCTAATTTCTTCAACTTCTATATCTATTTCTTTTCTGTTTTTTTTTTTTTTTTCTATTCGTTTTATTTTATTTTCTAATTTAACGGTTCCTCTTAAAATTATATAAAACAAATCTCCTTATTCGCCTTTATTTTATTATAATTTTTCTATTTATTTTATAAATAATAAAAATACCTTATTTAAAAACAACTTCATTTTTTAAAAGCTTTTTATGCTAAAACTTTTAAGTTAAATAATCTAATTATTATTCATAATCTTCTTTGAAATATTTTTTGAAAAAATCAATTTCTTATGAAAGCCTTATTAATATTTTAATATTTTTATATTTTTACAAATACCTTTTCAAAATGCTTATTTCATATGAGTTTCTTATATTTTAATCTTTTTATAGTATTTTGATTGCGGCCTTAATTTATTTTTAAAAAAAGACTTTATTTATTATTTTTAGGATTTTTTATTTATATATATATAAATATTATCACATTTATTAAATCATTGTCAACAAAATTATCATTATAATAATCTTCGTTTAATTAAATACCTAAAAAATTCATAACATTGTTATAATTAAAAAAATAAAAATTATTAAAAGATTTTACTTTCGCTTAACTTAGATATTTACTACATTTTTTTTTTAAATAATATTTTATTATATATAAACAAATAAGTAATATTGATAAATAAAAAATAATTATAAAATTATTAATTTAAAATGTTATTATTATTATTAAATTCTACAATATTATATTAAAAAAAATAACGAATATACTCTAAATAAACCTGAAAATAGTAAAAATATATAAACAATAATATGTTTTCACGGATATGAAGATATTAATATAGAAGTTTATATTATTTTAATAATTTAATAAATACTTTAGGTCTAAATTATAGAATAGTGTTAATTTTTGCAACATTAACAAAAGTCTATTAGAAAAAAGAATTTTTCATGAACAGTTAGTTGTTAGATTGATATAAATAAAACTACGAAAAATAATTAGATTTAAAAATTAAAAATTAAAAATTAATAGATTAATAAATAACTAGTTAATATATTAATAAAATAAAAAAGATCTTAAATAAAAGGAGATTTAAAAAAAAAAAAAATATAATATTTTTTTATAATTAATATAAATATATAAATTTAAAAATATAAGAATAAAAATTAATTTAGAGAGAATTATAGAATAATGTATACTAAATTTATAATATAAAAAAAAAAATATAATATTTTTTTATAATTAATATAAATATATAAATTTAAAAATATAAGAATAAAAATTAATTTAGAGAGAATTATAGAATAATGTATACTAAATTTATAATATAAAAAAAAAAATATAAAAAAGATAAAAATAATACTAAAATAAAGTAAATATAAAAATAATATTAGAATAGATAATATTAAAAATCTTAAAAAAAATATAGAAGAAAAAAATTATCATAGTTAATATTAAAATATTTTTTAGATATAAAGAAATAATTTATATTGTTATAAATATTAAAAAAAAAATTATAGCTTTTAATAAAAAAAAAAATATATAGAATGTTTGGAATATGTTAAAATATATTGAAATATATTAAATATATTGAAATATTAAATATATAAAATTAAATATAAATAAATATATATATATATATATTTATATATAAATATATATATTTATTTTTATTCATATATATATTTAATCAATTGTTTTGTATTTCCTTCTTTAAGATTTCTTTTAATTTTAGCTTATATTTATACTATTTATTTTATTTAATTCAATAGTATTATTTTATGTATTTTTTTAAATAAATTTTCTATCCAATGTAGCGTTTATAATTTTAGATATATTTTTAGATTTTATATATAATTATAACATTGGATTAGTAAATGATTTTTTAACGCCACTTTTTTTTGTTTGTTTTTTTAAAGAATTTTCTGAAATGTTATTTTTTTAGAATTATTTATTTATATTTAATTTTACATCTTTTATCTTTTTTATTCTTTCATAATATTTTTCTTTTTGTTTGTATTTAGATGTTTAAAGTGCTTCAGGTATTTAAAAATTAAATTTTTTTACATTATCGAATTTTGTTTTTTATCTTCCTACTTTATATAATTTAAATTATTTTTTTAATTATTTAAAAATAATACATATAAATATTTTTTATAAAATATCTGATTGTGAATGAAAATTTTTCAAATTTTTAATTAAAAATGAGCTTTAGTTATTATTATAAAAAATATTTTTATTATTAATATTATTATTATTATTATTATTATTATTATTATTATTATTATTATTATTATTATTATTATAATTATTCTTATTATTATTATCATTATTATTATTATTTTTATTAATTTTTGTATATGTATTAGTATTATTAATCATATTATTTAGTTTATTATTATTATTACTATTATTTTACATAGATATATTTGTAAAATTTTAATATTATTATTTTAGTTAATAATCAGATAATTAAAATATTTATTAAGATTTTTTTAATTAACTTCTTTATTATTCAATGTAATATTCATCTTAAAAATGAAATTTTTTATTTATTTCTTTTATTTTTGATTATATAAATTAATTTTTATTTTATTTTTCTTTTAATTTTTTAAATTTAATTTATTTTCTATTTTAATTTATCTAAACTAAATCATTAATTATTTATTTTGATTCTTCTGTATTTTAAATTTTATTCTCATTTTAATTTTTCTAATTTAAATTTTTAATTTTTTATTTTAAATTTAGAAATTATTTTTCACTTTCATTTCCTTCTTCTTTTACAAGGTTTTCTTCAGATATTTTTTTTGTTAAAATTTATTCGTTTTGAAACTGAGTAAAACTTTCAGCTTTCTTCTGAAACTTTTTTATTTGATCTTTAGTAAATTGTATATATTAAGGCTTTATTTTTTAACTCTGACTATTATTGTGGATATTACTGAATACGAAGTTTAATATAATTGACACGCTTTGGCATATTTCTTTAAATCTTTTTAATAAATTTTCTAAGGCTTCGTTTCTTAGTTAAATAATGATAGATTCACTTATAATGTAATCTTAAAAGAAAAATATCTAATCATTTGAATTAATATTATTTTCATCTTATACTTCTTAATTTCCAATAATTAAACTCTAACAAATTTTATCTAATTTAATTGAATTATTTCTCATTTATTTTCCTAAATTTTTTTGATTTTTTAATGTCTAATCTTCATCTAAAATCTAACTTAAAATATTGGAAGAATTAGTATTGTAAATTTAATCAATTTTAATCATTAAATTAGTATTTTCTTAGAATTATAAATAATCTTTTATTTATAGCCCTTATTATTTAAAAATTTCAGCTTTTTATCTACAATTAATAATTATTTTTCTAATTTGTTCTTTTTTTATAAATTACAATATTATTAAATCCTATTTATTTTTGTATAATATTATTTTAATTTTTAATAAATATTTTAATTTACTTTTTGAACTAAATCATAAATCATCTATTTTGCTTCTTTTAAATATTATTAATTTAAAATATTATTTTCTATTATATTCTAAAGATCTTCCTATC